CACGTTGCAACCACCTCTCCTCTCTTCATGTCTTGGCAGGCACTTCGGCGTCAAAATGCGAGAGCTGACGGCAAGGCTGCAAATGCGGTGCTAGTGAAACGAACTCGCATGAAAATGCTACGCGGGGTAGGATAGATGTACACGCGCTTTGGGACTCAGCAGCCAACGGGCAGACGAACCAATCAGACGCGCTAGTTCTTTATCGGACAAGGTCCGAAATGCCAATACACCGGTGTGATTGGCTTCACCCCCATGACTCTCATAAGCCACAACGTACTCAATCATCCGAGCGCGATCGACTCTACAGAGTACTGTATCATTGCCTACGCATACGAACACTACCATGGGTGCTATTGATCTGGTGCGCACGCCTCACGAAAGACGAGTGGAGATGACCGGGCCCTACCTATCAAGACAAGAAATTTTACAGCACACGGCAGTTGAAACTAAAGCCTGTAAAGGGTTCGTACAGCAATTTGTTGGCCAAAAGGGCCGCACTGGCGCCCCTCAACAGTGTGCAAAGTGGCGATTCAGAGCGCTTCAAGAGAGACAACGTAATCTATTCGAGCGCTAGAACGTCGGCTTCGGGGTCTTTTATTCTCCTTCGTTGCTTTTTCCCCCGCCGAGACAACGAGTGGAACCATTCAAGAATAGGGAATTATACTTTTGGGTCGTTGTTCGGCAGTCAGGCATCCAAGCCTCGACTGATCGACAGGCAGCCTTCGTACATTGTCCAGTTGGAAGATCGACAGCCACTTGCTTCAAGCCACATCCCAACCAGCATCTTGCTGGTCACCTGAGGCCGGTAACTGACTCTCCAGAAGCGAAGTGGCCAACGTTTTGCGCGTCTTGTAACGTACTGCGCCACTCCTGTGGCGTTGATCAGCGTAGAGGAACCATTTGCCACCCCAGGTTCGACTACGTGTGTACCGCCCGATCTAGACCTCGACAGGGGTCCCTGCAGAGTACTTTACTTAGGCTAGTGTACACGTGTAGGTAGCGTAAGTAGGCTAAGCAGTCACGACTAGAAACTACCTGCTAATAACTTCATTTTGATGCCTCCAAAGTCCCCATTGTTTCTGACAATAGGTTGTCTTTTCGGTCTATGATACTGTATACTTGGAAGTGCTCCGCTCCACTTTACTTAATTGAATTAGGTAACGGTAGAAAATGGGACTCTTCGGCTTACTCCAACTTACAGTAACACTATTGCCTTTGGATACTATTGGAGACTATCTAAGTAGTATACTTAGTACCCAGCATTGACGCAAATCTCTTAGCGCAGGTCATACCAAAATAAGGGTCATAACCTGTGTAAAGTGTGTGCACTTGGGCGAGCTCGGTATGCGACCGTTCGAGCACACACCCAAGACAGGTGTAGTGCATGCATAGTATCTTCCCCCAAAGCAATCACATGCATGTGATTGGCCGTCGATATGTGGCTTAACCCAACTCTGCTTCACGTAGGTCATGTACGCAGTACACCATTCATATCCCTGCCACTTTCTTCGACGACATTCGAGATGACTCTCGATTCTCCGCCATCAACCCAGCAGAAACCTGTACAGTAGACAACATGATGCGAACGGAACGCAATTACCCCAGCGCTCGCAGGCGATAGGTCTCCAACAAGAAGCACATCGACGTCATCAGTCACGGTTCCTGTCACGGGTGCCCTGAGCATACTACCTCATGACCGGACCCCAATCCAATATGCGCTTACCTTCAGTCCCGTCGTCATCCCGCCAAAACGGCTGGACCGAGCTTTCATCATTGGGGATTGGGGGCTCTGATTAGGGAATTGGCAGTTTCGACTGACTGCAAGACAAACCCTGCTCGACGGAACGGACCCTGAGAATGTAACGTCATGGCCCCAGTCTTTTCTACCGACCGGCTGGATTCTCATACCACACCTTTTTATTCGCTTACGCCAACCGTTTTGAAACGAGTGATCTTGACGTATCCCGGCGCCTTCGTCGTCTAGTATCTGCCGAGCTATGCGTAGACCCTGGAACGACGGCATGTACTACTCATCCCGCGCCGTTGCGTTCCATTCCCTTTTCTTTTTTGCCCCTGCTAATGACACCTATATGCCGACATTCCTTGGTACTACAGGCCTATACAAGTTAGATCACTCAAGCTTCGGTGGCGCACATCTTAGCGACCAAATTCTATTGGCCGTCTTGTTGCACTAGCATCTTATTGTTGTGTTTCCGATCATGTGATAACGCGATATCAAATCGCATGCTATCATAGAAGTATTCCAACTCGGACCTCGCTTCTTATATCTGTCTTCTCGCATACAAAGGACGGCGAATCCGAATGGCCAACACGGTGGCGATTGCTTCAATTGCTTCTAGTGAAACCCCTCTCCGTACAATTAGTCGAGCCGAGCCGAGCCGTGTGTCATGCTGCATACTTGCTGCCTGGCTTCTTGTTGCAGATCGTCACATGTCACGCCCACAGCCTCTTCATCGTGTCTTTGGAGACCCAGCAACGGACGCCACTCCTTCTACCATTGAAGCTTCAATAGCAATCTTGGAAAAGTCTTCACCGGATATTGCCACTTGGTCTCGGCTACACAGTCAAAGCGTTTTCATGACACTACGTAGGCAGCAATGACTCGCAACATCATGAACCTGTTTCACACCGTAACTGACCGGCATCCATACTTTCCGTGAGGCACCTCAAACTTTTCTCTGGGAGTGGAGAATACCGGCTCCGATATTCCTACTCTTTTAGTTGTGTATCTAAGCACTTCAAGAATGGCTCACTAGAGAATAGCTGATGTCGTGAAGGAAGAGAGGGTCTCGTGCCACGTAATTAGTACGACATACTGGCCTCGGTAACCTCAGGATATGTGCTCACATTATAGACACTGCGCCCCATCATCGCGTCGGGCTCTCAACACCTCAGGTCAATATCTACTAAGCATCCTTTAGTTTACCTTAGGGACACAGGGGCAATAATCACACCTTGTAGGTGAATAGGGGTCGTATACATATCCGCTTCGGTTGTCGTTGAATCCTGGCCATTGGTCATTCATGACCCACGGAGTAAATGCTCCGGAGCTGGAATGATACCGGTATAGTAGGCGTAATTAGTGGCTCCAATAGCCTTTTTTTTTGGATTCCGCAATTGACTGAACACTCTATTCTAGCAGTAGTACTAGGGAACTTATTCGGCGGGAAATAGGGAAGACGGGGACATTCTCACGGTTGACGAAATTGACGGAGATCGTTAACCGAAATGAAGGAATCACAACTAGCCAACGAGGTTATCGAGACTCTAGTATGCTTGAAAGTGCCTGTTCACAACTCCAGGTCGGAGTACAATGCTTCTTGGCACTTGATATGAACAGGCTGCGAAATACGTCCTACATCGTCGTGGGCAATATTGGGTTGGGGCGTTTTCTAGCCTACTTGTTCTGCCTTGGAAACCACGCCCGATTTGATTGCTGGTGAGCATCCTAGATATGCCATGTATTCCAAATCGCATTCAAAGCTTAGTTTTAATTTTCTCTACTTCTCCCTCCTCCATTTTCCTTTTTTCGTATTCTATATTTTATCCATTACTTAAGCACGAGGTCTTCCGTTTTACATTGTGCATTGTATCATCGGTTCATGGATTTTATGATCTGTCTGTCTATGTAAAGAACACGTATTGGTGAATTATAGTAGAGAAGTATGGTCTGAATCGAGTTACTGTTGTACGGCAAATATAAGTAGATTTCAAGCCGCACCATGTTGGCAAGGCATGTCATTATTAGGCGATTAGCCAGAGCCTAGTTCTCGATGATATGTATCGCGAAGCCAGTAACACTATACTCTAAGTCGGCCACTCTTCCCTTACCCTTATGGCCCAATTTATGAGCTCACTTTAAAGTAAAATCAACGCGTGTTCTAAACATCAGTATCGACGCGGGAAATATCCAGGCCGTATGATCTTGAACGTTAACCCCACTGTAATGAGTTAGCCTGCGTGAATCTAGAGTTGAGCCAAGGTGGCAAGCAGACTTGTACGCGTCCAAGGACTAAGCTCTGTCACTTAGAAATTCGGGGGGTAATCTCATAGAACGGAACTAGTGTGAGGCGATATTAATACCCAAGTGAACTGCTGAGAAAGAACATGCATGTGTGAGTGCGTGTTATGTAGCCCCTTTTTGTAGCCCTCATCCCTTCATACATACATGTTTCTCCCTTTTATTGGCCAATGCCATTGCCTCTAAGCGCCACTCGCTTCAGCAATACCTGAAGTTTACTTGCAAGCCAATCATTGGGTATCTAGGGTTTTCGCACGATATTGACTCGGAAGGGGCATCGCAATCCCATACCGTGCCTAGATCTATTCCCCCGAGATTATTAATTAAGCCAAATTCTCCTAGTAAAGGGCATTGTTCCCTAATAGTCTATCTACTGAAAATAATTAAAAGGCTTTGACGACACGATTTTAATCACAATTCTCACAGCCGTATAGACGATAATTGAGTCTAATTTACAAGCGATATTTACGTCCCCAGTCATTCATTCTACAGCGCCAACATCGCTCTCACTAAACGCATCCTCTATATCTAGTTTTACTTGCTAGACGTCTCTCAAGTGTTGAAAATGCGTCCTCGGTCAACACTGCGACTGATACATGGCCAGTATCCAATCGTACACTAGCTTTTGGAGTTAAACGGATCTCACCGAGGGCTTTAATTTTTTATACCTATCGCAATGAACATCAGCCCCCGCTTTCTTCGAGTATGTCAATACACGATAGGTCAATGCTCCAGAGTGTCAGCATCTCAGGTATGGGTGAGTATGGATACTTGTCGTCGCGCGAAGACTCTTACTACTCTGTGGGCTAGTCCCCGGCTATATACATACGTGCTCTTTGTACTAGGTGATGATCGTGACACGGAGTCTTTTTATTTTTCTCTTCACCTTATACCGTTACATACCACTATTTGTATAACTAACTCTGAAGCAACTGGATTCAGCTCAGGCCGACACCGGGCCCGTTTGGCTAAGTGGTATAGCCTTTCACTGGTCGACGAATTCGTGAAAAGAAATTTGCTGTGGGATGCCATGACAAGATCAGCGGTTCGATTCCGCTAATAACGGGTATACAGTTTCTAGTTGGTTTATTTTCTTTCCTTTCTATCATGCAAAGACGTACTTGTTAGTACACGCAAGTAATGTACTGATGACCCATGATTGAAGGGGGCATAAAGGACTCGACGCCTTTTCGGCTGGTCCCCATCTTGACGGATTTGTTGTTTATAATTCTATAATCGTCTCGCGTAGAGATGTTGTCAGTCATATCATAAAGCCGTCGATATGATGATAATAGTATTTGGAGAAGATTTATGGGGAGTTAGGGACCTGACAAAATAGGGGTCGCACGTACCAAAAGTGCAACCCTCAGCCACCCTTTGAGCCATCCAGCTACCCATGTATTTCTAAACAATCCAACACTTCAATATGAGGGCAGGGAGGCCGAATACCCAAGGCAGCAGCAACTGAAGGTGTCACAGAGAGACAGTTCATGTATATAGTTAGGATATTTCCACGTAGGTGTTTATAGGCCCTCGTGCAACAACAAGAGTCTATTGCCTGCCATATACAGGGGGTTCGTGACAGAGGGTGAAACTATTCAGACATATAGACTAGAGATCTCCCATATAGAGAAAGGAGGGGAACCAGACTTGAATGGCCTCTTGACTCCCGAAAGAATTATTGCAATACGAATATCCTTCCAAGTCCTTATTACAAATTCACTCTATCATAGTGGCCTGATTTCACTGGCAAAAAACTTCGGCTCCATCTCACGTTATAGCAGGATAACAGGATCTTCAACAAATGTATATTAATTGTACGCCAAGAAATATATCTCCAGTGTATCAATTTTCGGAAAGGGAGAGTTTAGAATGATACCATTTTCAGCTATGCAATTCTTCAGGCTTTAACAGGCTGCAGTGTTAGGCGGCGGGACTTATGGATGAGGTTATACCAACAGGTTGGCGTAGGACATGAAACTATGTTGCCTCATCTATTTCAGTCCTTGTCTTGTTATATTATTGATAAAAATAATTTATATCATTGAACTAACTCTACATATCATGGCATATTACCAGGCTCATCTGAGGCTCACTGCATAATTATCGACATGTTGAAAGTGTCTGGGGCTATTAAGATATAATTCTGGTATGCATGGGCCTTTCTGCTCTTGGAATGGTCGAAAGATAAAAGATAAATCACATTAATAACACTAGGTAGTGGTTCAGTGAGGCTGATTTCTACGTCAAGTTGGTTTGTGATTCTCCTAAACGCCACGCGAGGACCCATCGTCCTCAAATCCTCCAGGGAGTATGCGGGGTGTGAGGGTACCTATCTTGCTCTATCTGTTCATCCAGCTCCGGGGAAGATGCATAAACTATACAATATATCCCACAGTTCAAACCCAAAAGCACGCGCGATAGTCAAGCAGTTCCCTTTGGCCCCGAATCCTGAACTCGCCACTTCCCATATTGAGTTACCACTCTCTAAACTACAGATCATCGTATAATTCTAGGCTTAGCTATAAGAATCCTATTACGAATATAGAATCCATTGTCTGCTTCTATAGGTAGGCTGCTCACTATACTGTGCATCAAATATACCATCGCTCTCAGATAACTTTTAATTAATCATTTCTCATCACAACACTACAGGTTTATGGCAAATCAGATGATAATCACTTCCTGTTTTACTTTGACATTGAAACAGGGAGTCCCGTATCATTTTGTATCTTTATAAAGTGTCATACCTACTAAAAACAGTATCGAAGCTAATGATATTAGGGGGAAAACTAGGGAAGTTCAAAAGCCAACTACATCATATGCAAGGTCTATTCTCAAAATGTCAGGACAGGAAGGACAGTAGTGGACATAACATATTGCAGAAAGTGGTTGAGCTGCCATATCCAACTGTTGCACGTGCTTGAGACCAGGTCCTACGTATGTATCATGAATATGGTCATACGAGTATGAGACATCGTACGAGTCTTCAGCTTTTAGTTTACCCCGTATTTATCCGATCTCCTATAGTACCAGGACAGCTATACGAGAACGAATCCGAGACCGAAATAATCAAGGAGCATCGAGGTGAACTTTAACATATTATCTAAATACCTCCTACTTAGATAATGAAAGGTAAAAATATCCATAGCCCCTTTGACTCAACTAGTGATTATTGCAACTCTCATATCTTTCCAAGCCCTGTTGCCAAGCTATTGAAAATTTACAATGACTGCCTTGCAACTCGAAAAGGTTGGTTATTATGCTGTAGTTGAGCCAGCTCTAAGAAATTAGGTATATAAAACGTATAAAATTGAATAGAGAATAAGCGAGAACCTAAAAGCGAGACGAATTACGTCCAGACTGTCTGGGTGGAGTTGATGACTGAGATATTCGGATGATTGTTTCTCATACAACTAACATGAATAAAAATTTATTGAAAGGCGCAGTGCTTCTGTACGCGTCAAGTAGAAAAACGTAACCAAGGCTTTAACTCACGAAAGTGGCGCGCCGTAAAACTGACAACATTGTTGAACTTTTCTCGTGTAGTCTATGCGCTTAAATATGTCATTAAATTATGCAACATCGTTGTCATAATAAACACGATTGTTCCCAAAGCTGAACCTCAAATGGATTCTCTTCTATATATAGAAATTCTTAACAGATAGTTGAGACTCTCTCAACTTGACAAGTCCTATAGGCTGCAACAGAAACGCTAACACTTAACCAGCAATAATACATAACTTCAAGTAACACAGCATCCAGCCTAAATCACGCGGCGTGGCAACATCTAAGAAAAATTTCAGATACTCTCCTTAACTCAATTAATATTGATAAGTATGTTGACCCTGTTAACTAATTGGCACGTAAATATACGTATCCAGCATACCTGTAAATCCTATTTACTTATTAGCCACGGTAGTTGCGTAACCGCAAATCCATCTTTAGAAATTTCATACAATCATTAGACCCTGGCATTTAATCTATAATATTTTCTATTACTTGTCACACAGTCTAAGGGAAAGTCGTAAACATAATCACGTGAGGCCTTCAGCTTTCGTTCTCCTAACCCCCGATAGCCTCCCAAGATAGCTATACGAAAGCGAGACAACTGTACGAGACCGAAGTAGACAAAGCGAAGCGAGGTCATCCGGGCATCTAAGCAGTAGATCTCTTACATCGTAAAAGATTTTTCGTCTGAGCTTTAGGACTAACCCCTTCGCCTAATACAAGCGATGCTGAATGTAAGCGGTCAAGATCATCACGTTCCCCGGATTCCAAAAACTGAACACTGCTGCTTTTTTTTTTTGGCACTTTTGTTGCTTGGCAAGCTCTGTCTTCTGCGCTTTTCGCGGTCTTGCCTGGCTTGGCAATAACGAACCAGAAGCTTCGTCGTCTCGCGTATCAAGATTTGGGGGCTGATCACAGTCTTTTGCAGAAGCGAGCGAATAGTATTGGGACGAGATATTTGACATCGACGGGAGGGGCAAGATGGGGGGGGGGCAATGAGACCCAGGCTCATCCATCCCCAACATTGCGAGATCTAATTCTGGTATACCTTCGATACCATTTTTTCCTGTTTGCCGGGAGACTAGTGCAGTCGACTCGCCGGTAACATGACCCGGCATTTGGTCCGGGCGACCGCAGATAACGAATAGAATGGCGTATCCGAAAAAAAGGGTCGGCAAGTTTTTTTTTTTTTTTTTTTGACCACCGAGCATCACATTACATGACATTACGTACGGTCCCGAGCCCTGATTCAATTTACTATCACGCATCGCGCGCGCCGTGTGCTGCGTGTTAGGAAGGACGTGGAACACAAATAACTAAGCACATAACGATATGACACGGGACGAGCCGGAATCTAGCCTATACGGTATACACTAGGTATCTCAGGGTGCGTTTCCCATAAAATTAGCATCGAGCAATCGGATATGTTGTCCTATGTTCAATGGTCAAGGCACCTTCGATCGAGGTGCACCCCCAACCATCTCCAAACAAAAAAGCCTCTGCTGAGCTCCATCGATCATGCCATCTCCCATCAGCAGCACCCGCACATGTCCAATAGAACAGGCCCACGTCGGAACAAGCACATCCCCCCGTAAAAGCAGCAGGCGCACAGCTGACCTTGGAATTCAGGCATGCACAAAAGTTGCTGCAGAAGGGCCCATGCTTCGGCATATCTCGACCACCCCCCGGGAAGCTGCTGCTGCTGCTGCTGCGTGTGTGTGTGCACGTACGTATGTACATCCTATAGTGTATGGTAGCAGCTAGCAGCAAAGTAAGTGGCAGCGGTAGTGGCAGCAGCAGCGGCGGTGGCGGTAGCGGTATGTGAAATCGGCTGCGGGCGAGCTGCTGTCAAGAAACTGATCCCTGCCCCGGATACCTTTGCCCTGTTTCACCTCCCCGAAGCCGCCATGTTAGCGAGTAGCCGTCAAAGCGCCTGCAGGGTGTGGGTGACCGTCCGTGTCCTGTCGACGTGATCGGCGCTGCGCTGTAGCTGCAAGTTGTTAGGGCCCTGTTCCATGCCCGGAGAAGGGTCGTTAGGGTCTTTGAGGTCCTTGTGAGGTCCTTGAAAGGGTCTTAAGGACTCCCCCCGAGCTCAACCCGCCAAGAGCCTAATGACTGCGGGCAGCGTGTCCATTGTAACCTACTTACACTACTGGATAGCTTGGTTGGGTTAGGGTTCTGCCAAGGCTGCCGAGTCAGGGTCGTTCGTGCATACAGTATGTACTTTGTGTCCGGTACTGATTTCCTAATCCGGTAGCAAACGGCTACACTGTTGGTTTGAAATGTCGGGTACTGTGTGGGATTTTGCGGATTTTGCGATTGTTGATTTTCATCGGTGTTTAGTTTACAGTAGCAACGCGCAACGAACAGAGGCAAATTAATGTATAGTACATAGATAGTAGTCGACTTATCAAGGACTATGGTATATTCTCCCGACGCTATCCTATGTAATAGATTCTTGAGTAGAGTGGTCGCACTCCATATGAATTAGGATCTTTGTATGTGTATGTATGTGTGGTATGTGTGGTATGTGTGGTATGTGTGTATCTGTATGTATGT